TTTTTGTTTGAAGTTTCCTTTTCTTTGCTGGTTGGGGGAGGTAATTAGATTTGTTTGTTTGTTCGTTTGCATTTAATGGAGGTACTGGGAATTGCACCCAGGACCTTGTGCATGCTAAGCACTCTGCCACTGAGTTATACCTTCTCCCCTGTTTTTGAATCTTTATGAGAGCTAGTCTATAGTAGTTACACGGTAGTTATAGTAGTTAGAAGGTAGGTGTTGATCGGTTTTTACTTTATTCACCTTATTCCTAACCTGTTGCCTTTTGGGGTTTCTACTGAATGACCTGAGTATTCAACAAAGTTTCTTTAGCCTGACTGGTTGGAGCTAGAATGTCCTTCAGTCCTGTGAGAGCTTTGTACTTCTTTAATTTATACTTCTCATAAATCATTCTTTCTCCAGACTCGTGGGTTTTCTGGCATCCAAAATTCCTTTCTATCATCCAGAACTGTATCTGGCAATTTATTGCCCAATCTAGAAAGCTGTTAGAATCCCAGTCAGATATGCCAAACAACATAACAGAACTCAGAATCTCTGTTAAATTCACCTATATCGACAATTTCAGCCTGATGCAAAATAATATTCCTTTTTCCTTGGCTGATCGCCCTCAAAATTCACTTTCCAGAGACGTCCTCGCAATTGTGCTTATATTACTAAACAAAATATCTCTAATCTTCTCCACATGTGAACTTTCTCTTTCAGACTCTGATTTCACATATACATGTATTTTACCTTGACATGCATGCTGTATCTGAGTATTTATGCCACTAAATACTGGGATCCCATTCTGATTACAAGATCTTGATGAGGAGTAGGTCATAAGGGGAGTTATAGCTTGTTTTTCTTGCACAGGGTCTTCCTCTAGAGAGGTGGTAACAGCATGTCTGAGCTAGGGAGTGGCAGCTTCTTCAGGAAAGGAGAGTGAGGGAGGTTCATCCCAACCAAATGTGGATGCCAGGAGCAGGAGTCTCGTTCTTGGGTGCCCACTTAACTATGGAATTTCACCTAAAGGGAATAATCAGAAGATAAAGTTCTATGAACTCTTCCCTTAAGTAACAGCTCGGCTATCAATATTAGAGCCTGTTGAGTCCAGGGCAACAAGGGTTCCTGCTTATGGATGGGCGCCACAGGACATAAGAAACACACAGACAGAGAATCAAACACGGGACCAGGGGACTCCAGATCTCAAGGATCAACGGCCTCGAATGGCTGATTCGCATCTTATTTATTATCATCGTGCTGCAGTGCTGGAAAGCAAGCAGCTAGAAAACAAGCTGCACCTAAATTGCCATGAGCTTAAAATCTTATAGTCACACTTACTTGCTTAAAATGCACATGCT